AAAAAAAAAAGAATAGAAAAAAGAAAAATAAAACAAAAATAAAAATGAAAAATGAAAAAAAATGATAAATACCTTTTAGTTATCCCTTCCGAATCATCTTCATCTGTAAAGCAAATAAGTTCATCCAAGAGTGCAGGTAAAGCAGCAGCAAAAATTTCTTGGTTGTCAGATCCAGTATGTTCATGGTAGAACTCCAAAGCAGCTTGTAACTCTCGCCCATCAGCTCGATGGAGAGCTAAGGCAAGCACTTTAGGAAGCCAATTGACAATTAGTTGCACCATATCAGTGTTTAAACACTTGGCTAACTCGTATAAAGTGGCCACTGCTTGATCATTATCCTGCAGGGAAACCACGAGCCTTGGAAGAACAACAGGTATCATCCTTTTGACAAGTTCTCCAGTTTCAATGCCAAGAGCGCCTGCTGCAAACTCTTCAACCATTTTTGGTCTGCTTGCAAGCCTCAGAGACAGATAATCATACAGTTCATTTCGAATATGCAGAGCTTTGGCAAGGAGTGGTTCAAATCCTCCTTTATGATGAATGTAGCAGGATCTTTTAATCAATTTTGATGCAGTTAACCTCACTGTCACATAAGGACTATCGAGCTGACCAATCAATAAAATAAGAGAGAACAAATACAACTGACTGTAAATACTAACAGCTTGCATGATGGCTGCTGTGGCTTCCAGAAGAGTCTCAAAAACCAGGGGATCTTCAGTTGACATCAGAGCATGTTTTATTTTATCCATGAACCTCTGTTCTTTGGATTTATTCACAGCATCCTCATTTAAGAATAAACAATTCAAAACACGCTCTTCAAGGAAGAAACTAATCTGGGCACAGAATGCCTGTCTCACAAGCTTTTTCCTGTGAAGGAGTAAGAAATCAATGCATCTTACCCATTCAGATCTAGTTTTAAGCAGAATTTCTTCAGTTCCATGCAGAAGGATCCGCTTAATCATTCCTACACAGGCAACTTGAACTTCTTCGGATGATTCATCATATAGGAGCTTGAAAAGGAGGGACTGCAAATTGACATAATTACAACTCGAAAGAAATTCCGTATTATGGGTGTTAGGCAGATGCAGCACTGTTAAATACGACCCATGATTTAGAGAGACTCTTCGGTCACAGTTTGAACACCAAAATCCTCGCAACAGATAATCTACTGAAAAGTTTTGATTCTCCATTTCCTTCTTCAAGTATAATTTGCATTCACTTTCATAGAGTCCAGCTACACCATTACAGGCTCCATAGATGCATGCCAAATAACCAATACAGAGGGGAATGACTTTCTTAACTTGCTCATTTTTCTCTTTTTCTAGAATTCTGCATAAAAATTTAGGATGTAGTTATTAGCCACGTTAAAATGTTCATTGCTAGGCACAATGTCCAATTGTCTATGAAAATTTGAAGCAGAGGTCTCAAAACTTCAAAAACGTGCAACATGGTCCCAAACCTTTCAAAAATGTGCAGTATGAGGACCGCTAGACGGTTTCCATTTAAAGATCCGTTATTTGATCAAAAGTCAAGCATATGAGCTTAATTTGACCAATTTTAAAAGGACAAAATGGTGACTCTACATTTTTCCACCTAAAACAATTAAAAACTAAACCAACAAAAAAAAATAAAGAAAGAAAGAGAAGAAAGAAAAAGAAAAAAGATATATATATTCATCTTCTCACCAATCCCACCCCACCACAACCAAACCAAAACAAAGCCACCCATTACATCCCCTGCTCCACTATTACACCGGACACCACCCAGCACTTCAATCACCACAAACCCACCAACAACAACTAGAATTGCCGCCACCACCACCACATTTGGGGTCTTCAAAAAGGTAGAAATTAAAGACCAATTTTCAGTTTACTGATGTGCTACATGATTGATAACAACAGTAAACCTTTTACATTTTACCTGAGAATTCATGAATAGTATTTGTGTGTGTTTGAAATTAGTAAACAACTGAAATATGAAATCCTCTGAGGCAACTTCACTACTGTGAATTTTATTTTTGGGAGTAAATAATTCTGCAAATTGCACAATTGATTTACCGTAGTAAATTTGAAAAAGATTATGACGCACACAAAGTTTAAAAAGTCGAAACTAAGTATGGAGGCGGTTTTTCTTTATGAGGCGAGGCGTAAGCCTCGAGGCGGATTGAGGCGTAAGCCTCACAAAAAACAAAAAATCTTAGTAAAAGAATTATAAAATAATACAAAAAAATCAAAGTTTGAACATATAGTAAATAGGATATATAGCCATTAGCATATTGAAATATAGTCCACCTAAAAAAAAAGATGTTTAGTAAANAAAAAAAAAACCCCCCAAAAAAAAAAAAAAAAAAAAAAAAAAAAAAAAAAACAGATACGAAGTTAGAAATCACTCCATTTGCAATGGAAAAAAGAAGCAACTTAAATTAAAACAAAAACCTAATAGTCTGCACTATTATCACTATTACTAGCACCGTTAATAGAATCATCATATCTAATTTTCTCATCATCTTCCTTTTCGTTACTCTCAATTTTTACAAAATTATCTTCCTCATCCACCAATTGCAATGTGACTTTTTTCTTCCCTCTAATTTTTTGCTGCCGTTTAGTTTTCTAGGTATTTTATTGTGTTGTTTGGGCCCAAAATGCCTTTTTAAATAGGCAATTTTCCTTTTTAAGAAGAGTAATTTCTGATTTCTTTTCCTAGAATTGAAAAATCAAATTTTAAATGAGGTGCACGCCTCATGCTCCATGAGGCGAGTACCTTGAGTCGTGCACCTCAGATTTAGAGGCGTGAGCCTCATATTTTTAACCTCAAAAATACCGCCTCGAGGCATACTACATGCACCTCACAGTGGCGCGCCTCACTACCACCTTTTTAAACCAAGCGCACACACATCAATCTGTCCCATTTTTATTTATCTTCTTCAAGGGAATGTTTGTTATTTATCCGGAAAAGTGAGTAATAATGTCGGGATTGGAGTGCGAATGAGACCTTGAATCTTCCAGAGAAACTATTAAAAAGAAAAACCCACAACAAATTTAGAGAAAATTTGAATTAGAACCATTTGATATAGCTGGAAGAAATGGGTAAGCAATGGAAATGAGGCCCATTTGAATAGATCTTTGTGTTTGGCGGGGTGGGGAAGTAGGCGGTGGCGGGGGTATGGATGGTGGGGTAGGTGGGTTTAGTTTGGTTTGGTTTGGTTGTTGTTGGGTGAGGAAGAAGATGAAGAAATGTCTTTCTTTTATTTCTTTTATCTTTCTTTAGTTTCTTTTAGTAAATTATTTTAATTGTTTTAGGGGGAAAATGTAATTACCATTCTGCCCTTTCTAAAATTTGGGTCAAACACTTAACTTTTGGTCAACTAAGGGATTACTGGACAGAAACCGTCCAAAGGTCCTTGTACCACATATTTTCGAAAGGTTTGGAACTGCGCTATACTTTTTTGAAAGGTTTTGGACCTCTGCCACAAATTTCAATTGATTTTATTCTGACCATATGGCACACCTTGAATATAATTGAATTAGACTGACGCATTATCGAAAACACTCAAAGTACTTAAATCACATCCAATACACAATTACTCATACTCTACTGTTTCAAAAATTAAAGCCCTACAGTTGATCAAATTTCAAAGCAGATTGGCTAGCAGTCCAGGACAGAAAATAACAAGGGTACAGCTCCTCATTATGCAGCATTTTAAAATGGAGCTGATCGTAAACATGGAGAACAAAGACAGAAAAGGAATGGAAAACAGAGAGAAGACAATAGATAATAGACAATAATGGCTGAAGTGATGCCCACAAAGAAACAAAAGCATTTCAGGGAAGAAATGAGGGCTTGTGGTTAAGAAAATGAAGAAGCCACAAGTATAGCTAGAGCATGAAAACATTGACGCAGAAATAAGTCAACCACTAAAGAAGTACCTCAGCATGCAAAAGCATTACTTTCACATTGGCACAGTACGATTGAAATGTATAAGTTGATTCACCTTACTATTAAGATCAACATATGGGCTAATATTAGTACGCAGATAAATGTAAAATTTCACAGTTCACTTACTCCAGCCTGCTGAACACGTGTGTCAGGAAACCAAAACCAGAGCGCAGAACGATCACTGGCAGAGAAATGATGGATTCGATTCTAACTTCTTCTGCTTCATCGTGAAGACCCAAGTCCAATACATCAAGATGCACGTGTTCTATCAACCTTGCCCTAGAAAGCAATCGAACTGAGAGACATTTTGCTTTCCAGGGAGGAATGGGTTCAATTATTAAGGGAGTGCGGTTCCACGAAAGCTTCAGCACTGGTCGCAAAAGATCAGCACTATTACCCTCACGTTTGAAGAGAATATGCTTATTCTCTGCAGGAAGTGATCCTAAATAAATAAAATACAGGCGATGTGTTATGTACAGAAAGTACAATAGAGATTTGAGTTAACCAGCAAGAAATCAGAAATTTAACAATGTCTAGTAAAACAAAAGGGTATCATAATGTGGAGATCCAGATACCATAAAAGCCTAATTACTCTCCAAGTTCAAATAACAATTCAGAAAAAGGAGATGTTTGAGTTTTACTCCACGATACTAGATACTAATGCTTACAGATGTGCCTTCTTAGGTCATTCTGTAGCTATTGCCACCAGGCTATAACTGGGAAGCAGCATAAGTTGATCGTGAATAAAGCACATCATCTAATTTGCATAATCTTATGTAAATGAATGGTATATCCTTGTTACAGGAACATTGATACAACATATGCTTACGAATAACAGTGCCATCACCTTGCAAGAGCAATAAGCTGTCGACTGCTTCCAGAAATATGGGCAAATCAAGAGAAAACAGAAGTTCTTGCTTTGCCTGGAAAAACTATCCAAAGTTACAAAGGAACACAGTGCAGATTTTAAAGAACAATAGACACAAGAAAAACGCTAACCTGCTCAGACATCCAAGAAATCCAGTCACACATCTGCCGAAATATACGACAAGAAAGATTGGATTGAGGGTTATCAGAAAAAACAATACAGAGTGTGCTTAGAGCTGTTAAGGCGACTTCTGTCATTAATGGATTGGAGTTCTCTCTAGGAGGTTTTAGAAGTTCAACAAATAAACTTAAGGAGGTACGCATATAATCAGTGTATTCTTGTTTCCCAGGTCGAGTAAAACTATGAGCAAACTGGCTCAGTTCTTCACAATATTTACTCGGATCCTTACATTTATCATCTATCTTTTGTCGCTTTGTATGCTGCGTGTCTGGGTCCTTAACGGGTCTTTTTCCCCCAATCCTTGAACTATCGTCTTCATCGTCTCTAGGTGTTGATAAACCCGTACCGTTTTCATCAGATGCTCCACTTCCAACAAGATCAGGACCAAGCCTGGATACAGCAGCCTGAAAGCAGTCTATCAATGGAAAAATAGGCTTGGATGAGCAAAGCACATGAATAAGACATTCTGGCCTCCAGATATGTGGAGGGCAACTTTTAACGATCCGCATATATGCACTGCACAAGCCAACCTGAAATTTTGTAGAAAAACGAAATGTCTAATATATTAGAACAGAAACTACCAGCCAAATAGTTAGATATACTATATACCAAGTCTGATTGACTCCAAAATCTAAATACAAAAGCTCGTAGATAACAGGACCATACAGACCTACGCAATGGATATAACATCAATACTGGCAAAAAATAATTTTTTTGCAAGCAATAACTGTTCATTAAATATAAGTAACATAAAATATGCAAGCATATTATTGCAACAGTGACGGTCATCGACATAATGAGCTAACCTTAAGCTCCAGGCTCCTTGTTTTCAGCAGTGATTCAGGAAAGATGCGTACTAACTCTTGAGCTGTAGAATGCATGACGTCTTCAGGACAACTGGAATGCAAGGCATGAAGGCTTGCCCCCAAAGAAGAATCATAAATGGCACTTCTGCACTCAATAGGCTGGTATTTGTAAGAGAAAATAACAAAGAGGAGGCAATTTTAATAGCCAAAGTTACTAAATGAGCGAGCACCCACAAAGATCACCAAAAACAAGCATCAGACAAGTATAAACCAAGTGCCAATAAAATCCAGATGGCAGGAAAGAAAATTCAAATTGATACGGTTCTCCAAGTTTAAAATCATCAAACGCTGTAAAGCCAGTCAAACTAATTTAAAGGGGAGCAGTGGGATAATTATTTAAAAAAGAAAATTCGCATCAAACCATTCAACAAAACTTTTATTTGCCCTACGAGTAAGTTTTGTCTAAATCAACAACAATCCTTGCATTGCTAGGAGTAAAAAGCATTACCACAGGACCTGAAGGCACTATCACAGCTAGTGATCCTAGACTTGGACGTGGCCATGATCTAAAAAATTTATGAAATAATATGTATATCATGTATCCAACCTGTTCGATGATATGCATGATTGCAAATTGCCCTTGAAGAAATAAAATGGCTTTAGATGAGGTACACAAACTCGAGCTGCAAAATAATTTCTTCCAGACAGCAGAAATAATACTAGAGCCTCTTCCTAGTTGTAGATGTTAAAAAAATAAAAGGAAACTAAAACCAACAAAGGGAAATGAAATTCAGTAACTAGTCCATTCTAAGCATTTGAATAAGCATAAAGAAGAGAGGAGCACAGGCAGATCATGAGAATACCTGAATACTGAAACTCCCTCCACAGCTTCGCTTAAGATAGTAATCATTGACCGAATTAAATTTTCAATGCGAACAATTTCATTGTTTTTGCCTGCTTCAATGAGGCGTGCGAAGTCAAAACATGCCTTCATAAAATTTGGGAAGTTAGACAAGTAATATTAAGCAGACACTAAAGCATACAGTACGGCAAAAAGAAGTTCGGAATAAACAGCACCAACTTGCTGTGAAAACTACCAACCATATGCAGATCATCATCTCCATAGGACAAAAGGGTGCAGACAGCCCAAGCAGATGAAGCATCCAGGAGTCCTTCAACATATAAAGTTCCATCAGTTAGGCATTTACAGAGAAGCTTGATCGCTGAAGTAGCAAAAGGCAGCCATCTATCCTTCCCAGAGAGATTAATCAATATTCCATAGCCATTCAGAGGTTTGCTACATGCTGGAAGATCGCTGAGAAGAGCAGTTTCATTGCAAATTCCAGCAAAAGAATCATGGAAACACTTCACTGACACTTTTTTTGATTCTGTTGAGCTTGACTTGTCACTAATTGAAGCTACATACAACAGATCTATATAAAAAAAAAAGAGAGAGAGATGAAGCAGCTTAATTTAATGCTTGAGACAAGGCTGTGAAACAAGCTCGTGGAAACAATTCTTTTTCGTTAAAATCTAATAAGTACATAAAGATGATGCCAGTGAACTATCCAGGATAAAGCAATAATATATTCCATGAAAATAGAAAAACTAAAATGATTATATCCTCATCTTCCAGGAGATCATAGGAGGGACCTAAAGGGCATTGCAATAATAATATATTTAAAAGGAAGAAATTGACTTGCAATTTCTGTGAGAAGTATCTTTCGTACCTTCAGTTAGCAACAATGTATCCATGAAGAACTGCCGGTAGGCATCTCGATCTCCCGTACGCAACAAGGACAAAAGGGATCCAACTGTCTCGAAAATCACTCCATGTCGAGAGCTGATGAATAAATTGTTTCATAGAACAGGTAACAGACAATATAATTAGCTAATAATTTTAGTAGCTCGTGTATCAATAGATAAATGCACGGACCAAGACACCATTTTTCTCCTCAATCTATTTTTCTCAAAATTCATATTTGACAATGAACCATGATTATAATCCGTAATGTCATGATTACTAATTAAAAGCTAAAGAACACTGATATATATATAATATTAAGTTATGAACCCACAGAACATAGAGAATCACTAACAGCATGTGTGACAACTTGTATGAACTCGAAATTAACATGAACAAGATTGTAACTTCTTTTTTTAATTTAATATTGCACCAATGGAAAGACGAGGAAATTGAGTGATTGATAAGTGAAACAACTAACTTACCGGAATGAGGGCTCAGCAAAAAAGGGCAAAATGCGACCGATAACAGGAAGCACTGCGCTAGCCTTTCCGTGATAGAAAACGCCGGGAAAATTTTTTGCAGTGTGTGCCAATAGTTTTAGTACTGCAATCACCTCTCTCTCTTTCGCTACAACAAATTTGAAATAAAAAAACATAAAAAAATCGCATAATATGCATATATACTTATATGCTACTTATATGCAGAGGAGGTGGTACCGCCGTACCGGAGGAAGAAGGGACGACATAGGCGTGAAGGAGATTGGGGAGGACGGCGCGGAATCGGGACTCTAAAGCGTCGTCGTTTTGGTTGTTGAGAGGAGTTGATGATGAGGCCGCTATGCGTTCTCGGAGCTCGTGCACCAGGCTCGAAAGGTTCGCCATTCATGCCCGATAGGCTCAGTGACACGCTATCTACTTCTCACAAATGAAATAATGCTCGCTGATTTGCTTTCCCTCCTATTTCGAATTGTACACAGCGCATTGTCGGTATAATACAGAAGAATAATGCAAAGTGTTGATGATGCGGTTTACAAACTTGATTATTCAAAAAGTATTGGAGGAAAAGCGCGTTTTTTTTTAAATTGTTGAATCATTTGCCTCGTTTGTCATCTATTTTCTCCGACATTATTTGCTACGGTAAACAATCTCCATCACATATTTACTTAATAAAATATTCTACACACAAATCAATAAAATTACTTTACTTTTCAACCACGTATTCTCCAAAAAATACTATTCAAAACTCTATTTCTTCTTCCAAAATGGGAGACAAACAAGCACTTATTGTCACTAAATACAATGTCAAAAATAATATAAAAAATTGTACATGTAGCATGATTGTAATACAGAATGAGCTTTTGTCAAATTTTTTTTCTTTTTACTCCTGGTTGGTCTACCATTAAAATCTGGTTTGTCTCACATTCGTTCAAAAACTCTTTTTTTATATATAATTATTTCCAATCACACATTCACACAATACAATATTTTACATGTAAATTCAATTTTTTTCATGCTTTTTAATTACACATTCTCCAAAAATTAATATTCAAAACAATATTTTTCCAAAAAAATGCCACCAAACAAAGGCAAAGTAGAAAATGAGTTAAAATAGTGAATTTTTGAAAAAATGTGTGATTAAAAAATAGTAAAATTTTTTGAATTTACGTGCAAAATATTTTTGGCCCTGTTTGATACCCATTATTTCATCAAAACGAGTTTAACAATAGTGAATTTTTTTGCCCATGTTTAACAATTATTATTTGGGGAAAATAGAGTTTTGAATAGTTAGTTTCACAAGAATGTGTGGTTAAAAAGTATTGAAATTTTTTTGTGTTTATATACAAAATATTTTATTGTGTGAACGTGTAGTTAAAAATGAGTATGTACAAAAAAAAAGATTCAAAATAATGATTGTCAAATAGAGGATTTATTGCGAGAATGTGTGGTTGAAAATAAGTTTGAAAAAAAAATGAATTTTGAAATAATGAGAATCAAACATGGGCATTTGTCAGAAAATGTGATTGAAAATGAGTTTAAGAAAAAAATTGAAATAATAGTAGACAAACAGGGACTTCAAGGGGTAAGACAATATGAATTAATAATTATAAAATCGGAGAATGTAAAACCCAACTACTGCAAATTCTGAAAGAAAGAGTTTTTCCTTACAAACAATAGTGAAAAACTGAAATAGTAAAAGTATTTTGCCTATGTTTGAGCTCCATTGAAATGACTTTTGTAATAATGAATTTTGAGAGAATATGTAATTAAAAGGCAGGAAATTTTTTTAAATTTATGAACAAAATATTTTATTGAAAGAATGTGTGACTGAAAATGTGTTTAGGGGAAAATGAAGTTTTAGGTAATGGAATCAAACAAGAGATCAACGTGCTTGAATACTATTTCCATTTTCCATTCATAGAAAGCATTTTCGATCTGAGATCATAACTGAAAATTGCATAAGCTTGACGAAGTTCCAAGGTAAATCATAAAAAAAAAAATTAATTTTTGTACTACTTCTATCTCTCCTAACAAAAATTTATGAAAAGTAACAATTCTGCTCATTATACACAAATTTCTATTGAATAGATAATTATAATCTTGTTCTAAATCGAAAAAAAAAATTAATAATCCCTATACAATAAAAGAGCTACTTTTGAAAACACTATTCCCAATTTCGTCCGCCAAAACGACGTCGTTTTGGCCCCAAAAAAAAACAAAAATCCCTCTCTC